TTACCCGGGAGACTTCACTTAACAACAAAGGCCAATGCTAAAAATGATTTATAAAAAAAGAAGGGGTGCTGATCTATACTAATCAGCCAGTAAAAGGCTAAGGAGAAACCTTACATCAATTTGGAATGACTGACATCTCCAAAGAATGGATTAACAGAGAACTCTGCATGGCATTGTCTTACTGAAACAGGAAGGATTTGTACACTCCAACTGGCAAAAATAGTCATGCTTTGATTTTTGTCATCTCACCTCACAAAAATGCCCAAAATTCTAGTTTCTCCTTAAAGATGCAAAGCCATTAAGGACCAAAGCTGTTAAAATCTTCTACATGGGAGACTGTTTCTGTACCATTATTTTCAAAATGGGGTAATTTCCTCAAGAGATATACAGGAAACCTTAAAAATTGCATTACCAATAAAAAATGGAAGAATCCAAAAATTATCTTCACAAAAGCCTTACCTTATACTTGGGTTGGAAAGCATGTATACAGAAAAGCTGATATTTGGATTTGTTTTTTTGGGGGAAAACTTGAGTGGGGTATTTACTTAGGCCACTATGATTTTTTTTTTCATTTTCTAATATCTGACTCCTACCCTTCAAAGGATCATATTTTAAGATAAGGGAATAGTTTTTCTTTTGCAAAAGCCACTTTCTGCAGGGCGTATTTTACTTAATAAGGTATACATATTGTATAGCATTAACATATTTAGGCCTGCACCTGTGAAGAACAATAAATTCACTAGTAAACAGTACTTAACCATAATATGCAAATAACCCACAATAACAAAACACTATGTTCATTTCCCAGCACAGTGAGCCCATCAACACAGACTCCAGGTTATATTCAAGACTGACATTTTTGCAGAAAGCAGCACTCCAGTTACATTGGATCTAACACAGATATGAGTGAAAATCCAAATGAACAGGCCTACCTTTAGTGTTACTATTGTTCACATCTCACAGCAATGCTCAATCAAAATAGTGTTCTTGATTTAACATACTTCAATATAAAACTCCCTGCCTAGCATCCCTAAATGTAGTCTTAATGCATAAACTGATATAGGCCATCCTTTACAACTTGCCTTATAAAACAATGTGACGAGGAAATTTAAATTATTTGCAATGCTCAATGCACAATGTTTCTCATTATGACATGAGAAGTCTTTAAGTCTTGTTTTTTCTTGATATGCATTCTTAAATAATTTAAGTGCTTATTTTCAGTTTTTATCTTTTGAAGTAATTGCCAATATCTAATAATTGCTCATTAAAACATGAGTAGGATTGCTAAGTACAAAAAGATGATGAAATAAAGCACTTCATTCAGTCTTTTTAGGGGAATTTCCTATGTGATAGAGAAGGCTATTCACTTCATCCTTCTCACGATCATGTAGTTCTGTTCTCTATCAATGCCAGTGAAGAAAGTGACTTTCCACTTTGCCTCAGATAATAAAATGAAATATTTTGAGAAAAGCAATCATAAACTGCTTTTCATATGTAGTGCTGTAAACTTTGCAGCACAAAACCCTGTTGCCCACTCCGGTAAAGCATTAGTAAAGGCAGTAAACATTTCACATTGTCGGAAACATGTCATCAATGAGCTGCTGATACTGCCCAGAAACTGATCCACACCTTTGTTGTTTTTAAAAAAAAATAAGTCCATCCCTCTTTTATCATCACAGAAAGCAGGACAGCAGCTCAGAGCTAATATGGTACGCAGACTGCAGTGAACGCATGTCACAATAAATCCCTTTGAGAGACGGCTTCATATCTGAAGAGGTATAGATCATCACTTGTCCCTTAAGGTACCACACAGTTGAGGGGAAAAAACATCTGAATTTTAAAATAGGAAGACACAAAAAGCAGCTGCTAGAGTAAAGAATGAGATGTACTGTATTATTAACAAAGCTAAGTGCCCAAGAGATATCAATATTTCAGATGACTTTTGCCTGGGTGTATGATCTGATATTCACACTTGCTAACAAATGTAATATTGGAGCACAACAAAATGCTAAGAAGATATGATATGAACATTTGATATGAACAGATACTGTACTTCTGATTCTTATTATTTCTTCCATGTCTGAGTTTTTGTGAAGAACCTTAACCCTCCATACAAAATTCAGCTGTTACTGCATAAAAATGTGTGGCACCTGCACTGTAGTATAATTATACATCTTGCACATACTGTAAACAGATGAAAGAAATTAAAGCTCATCCATAAGTTTTCAAGAGCTGGGTATCATTTTCTACTGCATACAGACACAAGGAAACCACTGCTGGTCTTCAAAGCCTGTAACTGACCACCTTCCAAGATACATACAGCAGCTTATCAGCACTTCAATGCTAGGCAAAATATTGCAAGGAGAATTTAGTTTTGGGAGCTACTTTGCCACAGCTCCCAAAACTAGATAGACTGTTTTTAGATTTGCTTAACTAAATGTGACTAACAGTTTAATTCTCTTCCATGGGGAATGGAAACTGATTTTCTTGAGTGGCACACATACTGTATAGGAAACCTGGAAATTTACTCATTTATCTGGATTTTAGTAGATTACGTAATTGAGCTATCCAAATTTTGTTATCTTAAACTGACATCCTGTTCCACATCCCTTGTAAATATCATACAAAACATCTCTAGGTCTGTGGGGTTTAAAATTATCCAGTTTGTTTCAGTTTCTGATCACCTTCAAAGGGAAAAGCTACTAACTGGTTCTCTGTCCACGTGTTAGTTTTATAAACTAATACATTTGTGAATTATTGGCATACGAAAAATTAAAAAGTATGACAATATAACTCATAAGTCTGCTGCCCACAACAATTGGCTAGACATAATGATAAACAGAGAGCTATCCTCTCTACCTACTGAACTTGCAGTGATTCATAGTCTAGTACTGCATGCCAGCTGTCAGAGCTACTGAATGACCAGTGTGGAAACAAAGGGTCAGAAATGCAATTTCCACTACAGCCCCATAGTCACCCTGTGCACCAATTAATGCAAACGTGGCTGCAGAAACCTAAAAAATGTCAATAGCAAACTCTGATGCAACACGCATTTGATTAAATCACTGTTTTAACTGTTTGAAACAGAAATAATCTAATTATATTGAATGTGGCAACACACACTTTCCAATTGCAAGTCCCAAGTGCAAATTTTAAAAGCTTGCATTTCAAATACTGGGACTAATGATGTGCGTTAGCTGCTTTACAATTAGCACATGCAATAGCTGACAAGGAGCCTTATTTTCACCACTGGGCCAACTCTGGACACACTGCCCATTCCATGCCCTGTTCTTTTTTTGAGTGGCCAGTCTGTCCACAAGTAAAATATCAGGCCAAGTGCAGATTTCCTCCAAATAAAAAAAACAGACCTCATCAAGATAAGGGAAAGGAAAGGCGAACTGCTAGCAAGGAAAAATAAATCATCTTACACTGCTCATAGTGCTATATTTTAGTTTTTTTGCTATAAGTCCTTACATGACGGACAAATCCTTACAAATTTGGGTCTTTTCAAATTAAATTGCAAGAGTGGCAGCCTGCTTAGAAGCATACTATAAGATGTCCAGAAAAGTTATAATTGTACAGTGTTCTTCTGAGAAGAAGTAAGTTAGAAGATACTTCTGTGATGTTGTGGTTATATCTTGATTAGGCTGATAATCCCGAAGAGCAGAATCTTCCTGTGTGATGTGTCCCATGCATTCTGTGCCAACAGAGCAACTACACGGCATATCAGGTGGGGATGTGCAGCATTGCTCCACTAGCTATATTAAAGACAAGCTTTAGGACAGCCAGACTGTGCAAGCCAAAATGAAAGTGATTCTACTGTTCTACTGTGTTCTACTGTGGTTAAACACCTCTACACCTTCCAATACCAGGGGTCCTTGAATGATTAAAGTAGTCATAGCTTCAGACTAACTCCTCTTCTGAAGGATGGCACCTCGTACAGCGCAGTGTTCGCAGTCACCATACTAGGGCACTGGGTTTACAAATTTGGGCACATGGGAAAGAGCATCACCTACTGGTCCACAAACATCACTTAGAACAGGAACTTGGTTTTCCTCGGAGGCCTCTCATCTTAGAACTAACCGGGTTCAGCCTGGCTGAGACGCTGAGATCTGTCAAAGTGGTAGTACTGTCAACAAAAGCTGATTTTTGTCAAAATTCTGATTTATTTATTTTTCTTTAAAATGCAAGTGGTTTTTTTTTCAAAATCTTATGATTACATCACAAAACGTAATCTCTTCACTATTGTGTTTCTAGAGAATGCCTCGTGTGTTGACATTTCTTCTTCCAAAGCTCTAAAAATTGGATGATTTCCATCAGGAAAAGAAAATCTCGTTTATCCCGTTCAATTAAACGTGCAGCTACACATTCAGTGTTTGGTTTCTAATATAAAGTACTCCCATGTTAACCGTAAAACAAAATCTGTACTTACACCACGAGGGGGGCAGAGGTTAATTACTCAACCGGGGACTTTTCACCAGTAATGCAAAGACTGTCTTAACATGCAGTACTTTAGTTTTCTGTTAAAACTGAAAAAGATCACAGTTGCCCGTGAAAATTATGCAATGGAAATGACAATGGAACAAATGCTTGCGTCTGAACACCTACAGTATCATGCAATCACCAAATGTGCGAATCCAGCAACACCTGACCTGCTATGAAAAAAGAAAAAAGTCAAACTAATAACCTACGGTATAGTTAATATTGAGGTAATGTGTTATTGGCGTAATCGTTCAACTTAATTTTTGGAAAGCCGCGTTTTACTAATATAAAAATACGCCCAAGACAATTGCAAGGACGTGTTATAATACGCTGACGGTAACTTACTAGTCAAAAAACGTGAAGATCTCTACAAAACGTATAAAAAACAAAAACTCTCTTTAATCTATACAGTCAGACATCTAGACAATCTAGACATCAGTGAACGATTACAAAGGAATACGATGTCTGCTATTATAGAATAAAGCATTCGGGATCAGTTAAAACTCAATTTCACTTACCATGTGAGTAGAATAACAACCAAAGATAGGGACCAGCCACAGTACGCCTGCCCATGTGCAGCCGCAGTAACTGTAGTTACAGTATTTGGAAATTGCGCGTTTCAGACGCGGTCGGCTCAGAGCTCCCCACCACCGCGGCAATGTTGCTAATGAGAGTCAAAGTTAAATGGGAGGTCCAGGCGACACGGCAATGTGTGAGCAACACAATAGCTGGACCCAGATAAGCAGAAAAAAAAGTGAAGTTTGCTGTGTGTTGTGTCACACCAATGGAATGTCTGAGCTACCCAATTGCCAAACGGCTGAATGCTGCTACCGGGGTTTGCTATAGCGGCTCTTTCCAGGATTTGCGTTGCGTCCCGAACATTTAAGTCTGCCGGCAGCTTCGTACAAGGTGCCTTTTTACACCCCGTTCCCCTTGCAAAATGCGAGCCGTATCTCGGCAAACAATGGTGCGATTCAGCTGCTTCCCTCAGAAGTTCAACGCACCAACCTCTGCTCTGCTCGCTGTTGCCAACAATCCTGCACGGACAGAAGCCCTTCAGTAGACGTCGCCCAGTAAAATGAAAAAGAAAATCCACTTTATGGAAAACATGAGTTGAAATTAACTAAAGCCAAGACATTTGTATCTAAAGTACTAAACCAAAAGTGATTTTCTCCTTTGTTGACATCAATAAATGTTTGAATGTAGTGAGTTTTTCTGTACTATTAAAGAAAAACACGGGAAACAATATTTATGTATTAAAACAGCTATCTAGAGTGCTTCCTCCCCTGAGTACCGTCGTGAAAAATACCATATACTGTATCTCCGCGGGAACTGTTTCTCCTACAGCAGCTCGTCGGCACTGATAACACAGTCCCTTCCATTCCTTACCGCTACGGTACTTTGACCCTAACAACCAATTACTGCTCCTTAATTGTTAATTAATTTAACCAGGCGCTGAATATGCATTTGAACATTACATTATAATTTGGGTTAGTTGGAGGAAAGGGAATGAAAGGGCTAAGGTTGACCCAGTCTTTAGAGAAAAACAGTTAACGCCATTAGGCAATGCAGTGCTCGGGCCCAGTCCTGTAGCTGGAGGACTGATATACAGTATCTGAATGTTTTCCATGTCTTTTTAAAGCGGCAGCACCTGAGGAGCTGGAAGAAGCAATTAATTTGGCCCTATTAAAAAATAAATAAATAAAAAAGCCAGTCACCAGCTGGTTTAACTTGTGAAAAGCAGATTTGGAATGAAGACCAGTTGCAATAGCAAACCTCCAGTTCTAGGACTGAACACCTCTGTACAAGCCAGCATTGGCTGCCTTTTAATGAAGACCTGTAATTTTGCCTTTTATTTTGCCTTGCTTTGTTTCTTCTGACCGGATTAAGAGCATAATTTCACAGATGTCATTTTTCGCCTTCAGATGTGAAAGAACTGTCCTTGTCAGTTCTTTAGATTGGTTGCAGTGATCACTTACAATACCAGTTCCGTTTTTGACACGGAGTGATGTATTAACCCCGCAATAATCATATAAAAATGTCTTGTATAGTTCCTTCCAAACACCACAGTAAGTGATTGCATTACAAAGGTCATAATTTAAATGATTATGGCATAAGGCCATTTGAACAGTCTTGTAGGATATAGTTTGCAGTTATTGGCTCCTATAGAGACTTACACATTAAAGGGTCATACTTTATAATAAAGGATTATAAATTAAACAAGCTAAATTCTGTATAATGCAAATAACCCTAGGGTTAGGATAAAGGGAGTGTAACAGACTATGGGCAGGATTAGGATTTTAGTAACACGCGATTCATCGACAGCAGAGGCTGGCTGTTGGCACTCTGTTGTCATTACAATATGAATATATTCCATTTCTATATCGATAGGAATTAAAACATCAGATTTAAGTGTTAATTTTTTTTTAATTCCCGATTTACAGAAAGGACGATAGACAAAATCCTAACTCTAATCAAACACTACGATGACTTCTTTACTGAAAAAAGGTCAACTTAAATACTTAAAAATAATTAATGTACTCCGTAAAGACGGACAAAGCTGGAATCATTCTTGCTATGACATCTCTAAGCCATTTTTTCCAAATGTATTCTCAGTTTTCCTCTACAGTTATTCTCTCCTACATCCCCGTGGTGCCAAAATACAATATACAGCCCTGTAATGTAATATTCCTGTACAGTGCACTGTTGATACTGGAAACAGTGCCCACCCCAGCATAATAACAGCCTGCCAATACCTGCTGTTGAGTGCCAGCCAGATGCACACTGTGCTGGGAGATGTGTAATGATTTTCCAGCTCCCTTTACCCTCCAGGAGGGACCTCTTATGCCATGGAGAAGGAATGTGCAATCCCTCCACCCCCATCCTCCTGTCACATGTAATCCAGCAGCCCTGTATTGAACCACTACTCCGCGCTCATAACTGACAAATAAAACTGTAGGGGTTAGTCTGGAAATACTATCCTGCCATTCACAAAGCATGGGTTCATTGAAGCCAGCTTACTCATAATACAGCATCCATAATAATTAGGTGGCCTCAGGACTAATATTCTGGGGAATGTTCAACACCATTATCTTTTACCTGCCAGCATATACAGTATAATGTTCCGACATTGTGTCTCATTATGGAACATTCTGAAATTCTATTAAGGGAAAACAAATAGGAGCTTTGAAACAAAAATTGCAAGGACTGGGAAATCTTGGGATCAATTTTAGCCAGAGCTTTGCATTTGGAGTTCATGTTCGCTATGTTCTGAAGGTGTCTTACGAATCTCTCCCAGAGTAATGTAGAAAAACGAACACATGCTTTCAACTTTTCCAGCTTGCTGTTGCTTTTGTGTGGATTTCAGAATAAGATTCAAACTACTGGGGCTCACCTTTAAAAATCTGAAGAATCTGACTCTTGACTACATCATTAAACTGTTAACTACCTACACCTACAGTATACGCCATTGATGCTTTTTGGACTCTGGTCTTTCTCTTTTCCCCAAAATGAGGCTCTGGGCACTGACACTTCCTGGGATAACGTGCTTTCTGTTGTGTTAAACCAAGCGGTGGAATGATCTCCCATCCCATATCAGATCTCGCAAATCAATCAGTTCTTGTCTTAAAACTCACTTTTACAGTCTAGCTTTGAATTGTTTAATTAACTGTTTGATTTGTGCAAATGTCTCTTTTGTTTGTTTTATTTTTCAGACTTGAGATGATGTACATTGAAAATGCTACTGTATATAAAATAAATGTTATTATTTTTGTAAGAACTGGAGATTCAAACCCTTGATTTCTGTTATTTCTATTTCTATGGAAGGAATATCTGCCTTTTAAAGAGTTGAAATAATGAAGATTTAAGACATATAATTGTAAAATATAACACAAAAAAGATACTACACTTTTTAATTAGCATCTGTATTTGGAAGATTTTCATTATTAACATTTTCAGTAATGCTTTTTGAATGAGGCTAAAAAACACATATTTCCTACATAGAAACTACACAACACAATAAAATAACAACATGCATAATCCTTTATCCTGAATCCTTTATAATTACATTTGTCTCTGTAAGTGTATCCTAGTCTTAAACTAACACATCATGGCAAATTGATTGAAACCCAGCTTTTTACCTCAGCCAAAGCATAGCCCAGCATTAGTAATCATTAACCCTGTCAGCAACCTATCTCCTCACAACACCTCATTATGTCTAATTAAATCATATTAATCTTTAATATAGATGCTTATCCTACCTTATGCCCATTATATCATTCAAATTACTGTTATAGAGTTCCAATTAGGGTTAGGTACAGGATATAGATAGAGTTTCAAACAGGGTTAAGGTTCAGTTTAGGGTTGGAGCTATGACATTATTGGTCCAACATAGTCTTAGGGTTAGGTTCTGAGGGAAGAATAGGTGACTTAGCTTGAATTAGGTATTGTGAAAAGATGATAAAGTTATTTTTTAGAGCAGAAGACAAGATCTAGAGTTATTTATAAAGCACCATCTACAGTACAAACCTATCCCTGACTTCAATGACTTACCATGCTCTTATCCCTCAATCCCAGCCTGACACCAACACTTTCCAAACCTTATAATAAGGAGCAATTTACAATCCTTATAATAATCTCAATGGTTACTGCTTCATTGACCTAAAAAATCTAAGCCTGTCCTTCATGTAATACAGCTGTAATACCAGCCAATTATAAAAAACTGTATGAGTTATTCTTAGCCAATACTTAAGCGAAACCTTACCTCTTACCATATTTATTTTATTTTTTTTAGGGACGAGCTTTATCAAATAAAAACTTTATTTCACATTACAATAGACTTAAACTTTTGCATTGCCTTGCGTTTGTAAGTTGTCACTTTGCTTTTAATTTTTCCTTTTTATTGGTAAATGACTGAAGATTTGAGAAAATTACTTTATACAACATTTAAACACGAGGCGGAATTCATCTAACGCTGTCATTTTGCTAACAGTTTTCCAGGTAAACTTTGCCACCTGCTGGCTAACTATGTCTAATGCGTCTTTTAAAAAGACTAAAAACGCTTAAATTGATTCCTGCGTGACTTTACTAGTTGTTCGTAATACACCTAGTACACAAACAATACATAGAATTATATTATTGTTTCAGATCTTATATCTGTTTTTATTGGCGTATTAATTTCATTTCAACAGCGGATATGATCAAATCCTTCATTTTGCAGTTTGAATACAGTTTTAAGTCTGGTTTCCATTACTTTTTTCATTTATTCTTTCTTCGAGATGAAGTACGGCACATTTTTGTACGCCAACAATCGTTTCTTCCTATCTATCTGTCTGACATATATCAGTTTGTCATAATTAAATGTGATTAATCAGAATTTATCGTTCAAAACCACGAGATCCTTGATTGTTATGATGTTAGCAGAAACATCTAAATTATCTTTTGCAGGGCTTCTGAAAAATAATCAACAACTATATGTTGAGGTAAAAAACATTAAAATAAAAGTTTTATTACTGCAGAATACCGCAGACAAAAATGAAAGCAAAATAAGAAATTTACATTTCAATTCTCCTTAATTATGTTACAACTGCAGTACGATATAGTAAACATGACCACATTACATCACATCATGAACATGACCATACACTACTCAACACAAGACACTGAAAAACACAAAACATAAAACAAAATACAGAAGATCAGAAAATAAAATCAGGACACTTCTCGTGACAAACAACTATTAATTGTACTCAGTGGGATATATTGTTTTTCGGATATATGTACAATGCACTTGTTGGAGGAAAACTGTGGAATTCAGACAGAAAGAACAGAATGAACTGTATGTGTTTCTTTGTATAAACTATTCCAGAACTACCTCATCTTTTCTTCAAGATTTAAATGTCTGCTTTG